ATAATAAGAAAGCGGTTAGTATAAAATGTGGACTGCAGGCTGAGTATAAAACACGGACTAAGTATAAAACGTGGACAACAGACTTTACCTATTTCAATTAAGGTTGCTCCCATGAACCATGTTTCATGGCCTGCAGTGCACTATGGTAAATCCTTTTGTAGCAGGAAGTTCACTGTATTGCTCCTGTTCATTGAAATAAAGGAGACCATTTGTGATAAGGCATTCAAGAGAGCTTTCAACTCAAATGGCTGCGAAAATTACTGTAATTTCGTTTTTAAATCTCACAGTAAGAAATTGGAAGCCTCTTCCTTTAACAACATTAATTGAACAGGGTTTTACCGCCTGATTTTGCTGCGTTTTTGCATGGGCCAGAATGCTGGTGATTTCAATAAAGCAAATCAACGCTATTCTTTTTTTTCTCAGTTTTAAAATAATTGCCTCAAAAATAAATAAACGCGTAATGTTAAGTTATTTATTGTAGTTCAACAAATGCCTTGAATTGTTTTTTTTAACGCCATCCAAAATTCCCACGTGTATGAGCCAAGCAATGCATATTACCACAGAGCAGAACCTAAAATCCTGTCGCTGTCCTAAAAAGGCTAGGATTCAGTGTGTTGAAATAGATTGTCATAACGTTCTGCTGACATAGCATAAAAGTGTCAGTAATATTTGCTTTCTAGGTTTCTAAGCTTGTCACGGCATATAATTTACTGGACTTGCTCCTATTGTGCACCATGGCCTATGAAACATGAGCAATGCATCATACATTGTCTTCACTGAAGCAACCTTATTGAAATAGGTGTAAAAACAGCTTTAGAAAGGTAAAACTGAGAGAAATGGATAGCAGAGTAGCATAAAACGGTAGTCCCAGCTCCTTGGCTGGTCACGCAGTCTATTCCCCCCAACATCAGTGTGGAGAAGGAAGGCATACTGCATGGGCAAGGAAGGTTAAGCTGTGCTACTAAAGGGAACTGAAAATGAAACTCTGAATTTTATAAAAAAAGGAGGAGTTAGAAGAGAATTCAATATATAGTTTTAAACCAATAGAAGATGTGAAACTGAGAAGCAGTGAATTAAAAAAAAAAAGTAGTATTGGTGTTAGTGAGAGTAAAATTCTTATAGATGCCACAATTCCATTTCAAAGTGTAGGGGATATGAGGAAATGAAGAACCCAGATACATGTGCATCGCGTTTGTGACCCCTGTTGTGGATGTTAGAGACCGAGAACAGGTCTACAAATGGGTGTTAGAAATTAGCATTTTGGTCAGGCAAAGGATTTGACGAACTGGGCGGCACACCTCCACCAAGAATTTCTAGAAGTATTTATACTTAAACTCATGTGTTGTGCTATTTAGCGATCTTTTGATGTATTTTTCCTTACCTAGAATCAATTAGCACAATTTTTACCAATGTAGCGTGCAGTCCACATTTTATACCGATAAGAAAGACTAGGATGACTAGGATGATAAGGATAGCTAGGGTGACTAAAATAACTAAGATGACTTTGATGAATGGGTTGGCTGTGTGAGATAAGTACTGGGTACCAGGATTAGTTGGTTCAAGGATGACTAGGGTGACTTTATTAACAAGTTTGACGTGGATGACTGGGATATCTAGAATGACTAGCAGTGACTACCATGACTAGTATGAAAGGAATTACCAGAAGATGACTGAGATGAAAATGATAACTGGGATGACTATCATGACTAGGATGACTGAGATGACTAGGTTGACTGTGATGGCTAAAATAGCTAAGATGACTGGGATGACTAGGGTGACTGGCATGACTGGGATGACTAGGACAACAAGGAGGAGTGGGATAACTAGGATGACTAGGATGATTTAGATGACTAGGATGACTGTTATTACTTAGATAACGATGATGACGGGGATGACTCAGATGATTAGGATGACTGGAATGACTGAGATGAACTGGATGACTGGGTTGACTGATATAACTTGGTTGACTGAAATGGCTAAGAATAAGATGACTTTGATGAATGGGATGTCTGGGATGACTACGGTGACTAGTATAATAGGGATTACTATTATTACTGGGATGACGTGGTTGACTTTGATGACTTTGATGACCATAATAAAGTTATTATTACTTCGATGACTAGGATGATTGGGATGTCTGGGTTGACAAGGATGACTAGGATTACTGTGATTACTGTGGTGGCTGGAATGACTGGGATAATTAGGATGACTGGGATGACAAGGGTAACTGCAGTTATTACTGGGATCAGTGGGATGACTACGATGCTTAGGGAGATTGGGATGACTAGGATAGAATGAATGGGACAACTGGGATGACTGGGATGACACTAAGGATGACTTAGATTACTAGGATGAGTGGGATGACTAGGATGACTTGGCCAACCAGGGATGACTGGTGTGAATTGGTTGGCAAGGATGACTGGGATGACTGTGATGGCTGGAATTTCTGGGATCACAAGGATGACTGAGATAGAGTAGATAAAGTTGGGCACAATATTATTATGCAAATGTAGGGTGTGTTTGTAAGTGTAAAACAACTTGTTGAACACACTAGTCTTAAGTCCTGACATTATTTTATAACACCATTTTTCAAGCTCATTTGTTGTCAAACTGTTCCCACTTTTTAAATCTAAATGGTTGAGCGTCTCCATCTAGGAAATGTCATTATACTTTATTGATGTTCATAAGGTGTTTATATGGATTGCAAGGAGTGTTGAAATTTTTTGCAGGAAGTGACTATCATGTCAACACCAGTTCAATTATGTGCTGATAAAAATGGTTTATTTATTTTTTCAGACAGAAAAAGACAGCAAATGAGGCAAACTGGTGAGAGTAGACCAACAGAAAAATGCAAGACAAACTGCATAAAGCATTGCTTTGTGAAATCAACAACGGTCAAAGCGTGGACTTGTACATTGTTTTTGCATCGTAAAACAACTTCCATTTCACTTCGCACTGCAGCAGATTCAAGAGTAGAAAAAAACACGTAAGATTTTATCTCATATAATTTCCATTTGTAGTTTACAAATAAGAGCTTGGGTTCCCTATGGTTTGCATGCTGTCAGGAAGAATTTATTACTGAGACTTGGTTTTACACTCTGTCTATGACCCAGCCTGGGAGATCACTGAGGGTGCTTTGCATTATTTGTCAGAACTTACCGGCCAGACCATTCCTGTCCCAATGAGAATTTCACTTTTAATCAAAACTATTCAGTCAGACTTATCCTAAATAGCATGCATGAAGGAAATGATTTTTCAGCAAAAACTCTTGTTAAAAGCCTATTTCATTGTCAAAATGACCACTCCGACTATGGTCCAGCCAGCCAGCTCTGACATTAGGAAAGTGCCCCGAGTTTGGGGTTAAGCTGATGAGGAAGTGCACGTTTGCAGAGGTTATAATCACCCAGCTGTTGTTGCACAGTCATTTTATTGGTAATTACTTGTCTTGTTTACTTAAAAAATTAATGTCTGAGATAGTCTTCACAAGCCAACATAAAGCTGTTGACAGATCACAAAATTTTAAAAATTACTAAAGTATAGAAAGTTAATATTGCAGGCAAATCTTTTTGTTAAAATCTTCAATGAATTTTGTAAAGAAGGAAGACTTCATTTATTTATTCTGGTAGGAAACAATTTTGCGAAAAATAGACATCCATATAATAATAATTATTATAGGCAGGGAGAGTAATTTGTCCTTTCTACCTGACAGTCAAATTTACCTGTATTATTTCTTGCATCTCTAGCCATTTAACAGAACCCCTCCCATTTGGTGATGTTCCTGAAGATTCTTTGCCCATCACAAGTTGGATATCAAAAATGTTTCTGCAATTAACGGGAAGACATCTCAAGAAGCTAGAGGGATCGTGGTTCCCCATTGGTGATTTCAGGCATTTTAGGTATCAGTTTTTTCCTTTTTTTAAACTTTCTTAACTTGTATAAGACTACTACATTTTGTTTAGAATTTTTCCAGACGTACGCACAATTTTCCAAATCCCACAAAGTATCAAATCTTTTTCAGGCTTCTTCATTAAAGATGAGGTCATCCCACTCATACTACCCATCCAGCTTATTCCAGTCATCCTACTCATCCCAGTTATCCAAGCCAACTCAGTCGTCCCACTCAGTTTAGTCATCCAAGTCACCCTAGTCACTCCTGTTATCCCAGTTACCCCAGTCAGATTTCGCATTAGATTGCAAAATCCGGATTTCAAAATCTAAATCTGGAGTTCCCACTCAAATGCAACCCTAGTCTCGCTTGTCATTCCTGTCATCTCACAATCATGAACAAAAGTCTTGGGACACTTTTGCATTTCTGGGGCGTCTTCCAATTCACACAGGTCCAATTGCTCCCCTCACCCCACAAACAAGGTTGGACGGGCAAATTTTTCAGAGTTTCAACTTTGTATAGGGTGGGGGGGGGACTACAAGAAAATTTCAAAAAGGATGCACTGTTTTATTAGGGAACCGAGACAAAAAATATGATTATTGCATTACTGTCCCAAGGACTTTTGTCCATGATTGTAGTTATCCCAGTCAACCCAGTCATCCTACTCATCCTAGTCCTCTTTGCATCCCAGTCACCAGTCATCCCAATCATCCTAGGTATCCCTATTATTTTAGTCATTGTAGTTATCCCACCCACCCTAGCTAGTCCTCCTAGTCAACAAAGTCACCACTGTTGAGTCTGTTACTCTAGACATCTCAGTCAACCCATTCATCCTTGTCATCTCAGTCTCTGTAGTTATTGTAGTTATCCCAGTCATCTCAATCACTCCATTCATCCCAGCCACCCTAGTCATTCCAGTCATCCTAATCAACTCAGTTATTCTAGTTCCCCTAGTCATCCCAGTGGTCCCAGTCATCCCAGTCACCTCATTCATCCTAGTTACCCCAGTTGTTCTACTTTTCCTTTTCATCACAATCTTCCCTGTTACCCGTGTTATCACAGTAAACCAAGTCATCCTATTCATCCTAGTCATGCCAGTCATCCTACTTATCCCAGCCATCCAAGTCATCTCATTAATAGTCATCCTGTTCATCCTTATCCTGCAAGTCATCCCGGTCATTCAAAAAGTCCCAGTCATCCTTGTCGTCCATGTTATTCCAGTCATCCCAGTGACCCCTGTTATCCCAGTCATCCTCTCATCATAGTAATCTTAGTCATCCAAGTCATCCTAGTATCCCACTCATTCCGTTCATCCTAGTCATCTTAGTCACCTGAGTGATCTCAGTCATCCTACTCATCCTATCTATCCTATTTATCCCAGTCATACCAGACAACCTTATCATCTCAGTTATCTCATCATCCTAGTTGTCCAGTTTTTCTAGGTAACGTTGTCATCACAGTCATCCCAGTAACCTAGCTAAGTCATCCTAATCATCCAAGTCACTCCCGTCATCCCGTGACCCCAGTTGCCTAGTCATCCCAGTCCTCCTAGTCATCCCAGTAACCCTAGTTATCCCTGTTATCACAGTTATTCCAGTCACCATAGTCATCTCAATTATCTCGATCATCACCCCATTCATCCTAGTCGCCCCAGTTATTGTGCTTTTCCTTTTCTCCACAATCATCCCTGTCACCCATGTTTTCACAGTAAATCAAGTCAGCCAATTCATTCTAGTCATGCTAGTTGTCCTAGTCATGCCAGTCATCCCAACCATCCAAGTCATGTCATTAATAGTCATCCTAATCGTGCAAGTCATTCCAGTCATCCAAAGCATCCCAGTCATCCCAGTCATATTAGTCATCCCAGTCATATTAGTCATCCCAGTCATCCCAGCCATCCAACTCATTTAATCAATAGTCATCCTATTCATCCTAATCAAGCAAGTCATCCCAGTCATCCAAGTCAACTTTTTTTTGCGGATCACTGGAAAAATAGCAAAAAACGCAAAAATCAGAACCTGAAAAATTTTGTGCCACATGGTAGTCATCCTATCATTCTATCCTATTCATCCCAGTCATACCAGACACCCTTGTCATCTCAGTTATCTCATCATCCTAGTCATCCCAGTTTTTCTAGTTATCCTTGTCATCACAGTCGTCTCACGCGGGTAGCTAAGTCATCCTTATCATCCAAGTCACTCCTGTCACCCCAGTTATCCCAGTCAACTCAGTTCTTCTAGTCATCGTAGTAATCCTAGTCTTCCTAGTCTTCCCAGTCTTCCCAGTCATCCCAGCCATCCCAGTCACTCCAGTCACCCCAGTCACCCTAGTCAACCTCAGAGTTCACATGCACCTTGAAAGTCCTTGAAAGTAGTCCTTGAATTTCAGTGCTTACTTTATCCAACCCAGATTCTCAAGTGCCTAAAAGGAGCAAACACAGAGAGACCTTCAGGATAAAAATTAAAATTGCAGACATGTTGTGGAAGAACTAAAAAAGACATATACTCAAGGCTATGATTGGAGTCCTTGAAGAATGGGAAATTTGTCCTTGAAAAGTCCTTGAATTTTTTTAATCAAAACGGGATACAAACCCTGCAACCAAGTCATCCCGGTCATTCTAGTCATTCCTGTCATCCCAGTCATCTTCTTGTCCTAGTTATTCTAGTCATAATCATCCCAGTCATCCTGGTTATCTCAGTTATCTCAGTAACCCTAGTCATCCTAGTGCCCCACTCATTCCAGTTACCCTAGTCATCTCAGTCACCCCAGTTATCCCAGTCATCTTAGTCATCCTAGTCATCCCTTTCATACCAGACACCCTAGTCATCTCAGTCACCCCAGTTATCCCAGTCTTCCTAGCCATCCTAGTCATCCCAGTCATACCAGACACCCTAGTCATCTCAGTCACCCCAGTTATCCCAGTCTTCCTAGCCATCCTAGTCATCCCAGTCATACCAGACACCCTAGTCATCTCAGTCACCCCAGTTATCCCAGTCATCCTAGTCATCCCAATCATACCAGACACCCTACTAGTCATCTCAGTTATCTCATCGCTGTTGTTATCCTAGTCACTGAAGTTCTTCAACATATCCTTTTCATCACAGTCATCCCAGTCACCCCTGTCAACATAGTCATCCTAGGTATTCTAGTCATCCCAGTGATACTAGTCATCCTATTGATCCTAGTGATGCAAGTCATTCCAGCCATCCTAGTAATCCCAATTATCCCAGTCACCCAGTCATCTCAGTTATTCTACCTATCCTTGTCATCCCAGCCACCCCTGTTATCCTAGTTATCCCAGAAGCATTGGTCATCCCAGTCATCCTGGTTATCTCAGTTATCGCAGTTACCCTAGTCATCACAGTCATCCCAGTCATCCAAGTCCTAGTATCCTAGGCATGCCAATCATCCTAGTCATCACAGTTATCCCAGTCATTCCAGTCAGTCTTGTAGTCTTTTTTAGGGATGCACATGTGCACCATGTGTTCAGGTAGCTACGCTCATCCTATGGAGCCATTTACATTTGTGTCTCAGTCTTAGACATGGAACTATTGGTACATCCCTTGCTTAACTCTGTTCCTGTAAATGCCTACGAGCCAAAAGTCAGCAACAAGTTACAAATAAGTTAACAATAGAGTGAAAATGAATTCTTCTTTTTTCTTAGGCTGAAAGAACAACAGATTTGGCAAAGTGGTGAGCGACTCATCAATGCCTCCATACAGGAGTTCAAAAGCCAACAGTGAAGAGGCTGTGATCACTAGAGGATGGTATCATCAAAGTCAACTCATTATTAATACTTAGTTTAGTATTTATATAATCATATAATTCATTACTTACAGTTACAGCCAGTGCCCTGCCTCAACACAGGTACTTGGTTTTAGAATATTTCTGACCCTGCCCGGGAGGTCATTGAATGCGGGGTACAGCTGGCCTGGGGTTTTCCTCCTAGGAGCAAGTGGACGTACGGGGAGGTTTTTCACCCAGCTGTTGTTCCACAACCCCCATTCAACAGAAATTAGGCAAATTCATTTAGCTTGGCGGCAAAAAAAAACACCAAAAACAAAAAACAAAAACCGAAGAATATATCTACAAATAAGACTTCATGCATTAGTCAAAACAGGTCCATGGTATTCCCAACAGGAGTGGATTGATTCACTTGCAATATTTTTCCTTTGAATTCTACCCACAGTTTACAGCTTTCCAAATTCAACGACAACCTACTTTTATTTATCCAATCAAAATTCAATCACTTTGGGATCTTCAGCACTGTAGAGTACATTGCCGAATATAAAGTGAGGTCAAATTTAAATTAGGAATTCTGTAATTCACTATTGGAGGGAATACTTAAGGTATCTGTATTACAAGAATAATGATATATTATACAGTGTGTGTGCCACCATATTTGTACAAATAAGTGTCACTGAGAAAATTTTATCAACAGTTTCTTTATTTTTAAAGTAAACGAGTCACCATCCAGTTCAATTTAGCAACTGGACAGGGGCTTATTCTGAAAGTTTTCCTAAATTAAGCAAGTTTTGTTTTCAAATTGGATTATTTTGTTCCAAAAAAATTCATATTTAGGCAAAATTTGAAAAGTAATCTAGAGGCTTATTTGTACTACTTACAAATTAAGTTCAAACACAAGATTCCTTTGAGTAGTACATAGGTCATTCAATTTTACAAAGGAGATTCACCACTGGGAAGAAAAGGGAAAAGGGTTCATTCTTGCGAGACAAATATTGGTAAATGAAACACTGCCGCCAAGAATAATTTTGTTCATTAGTGATTATAAATGACATTTCCTTAGAATTTGGTAATTTTATCAAAGATGAGACACAGTATTTCATCTGCTAACTAGATACAGAGAAATTGCTTCAAAAAGTAAATTAGGACCAGTGTGGTCTGGTAAAAAATAGCAAAATTGAGCTGAACTAAGTTTTGGTATGGGCTAAGGGTTCAGGGTCTTAGAAACACATCCCCACCCAAAAATTCAAAACGTACCCCCTGGGGGCTCGTTCTTCACTGCTCAAGGAAAATCTTTCTAAAATAATGGTGATCATGATATTATAATAATATTTAATATAAAGTTATAGTTGTTGGGTGGGTGTGGCTACATATTTTATAGATTACATATCTAAAACCGTCAAAGCTCAATTAAGCCCCTATCTGCCTTTTAAGGAGGGTTGGAGGAGTTAGAGGTAGGGGAGAGGGAGTAAACTATTTTTTTTTGGGGGGGGGGGGCAAAAAAAGAATATTTTTTATCTCAATAATAAGAGGAAATCAGAATTAAGGGAAAAGGTGGTCATTTTGATCGATAATCTTCTACGAACTGGCAGAATGTTCTTGTCTTGGTTTGATGGAAATCAGTTCCTGACATTTCCTGCAAAAGGAATGGCTTTCAAGGTAAGTTGTGGAGGATGTAATAATAGGGGGATCAAGTTACAAATGAAGTCTTCAAAAAATAGAGGCTGTGATCAATGATGGGTAGGCGGAAGGCTGGGGCTAATAGAGCTTTTGTCGCATGTACAGTTGATGACATTGTGCTGAGAGTGTAGGTGGGAGTGGACTAGTTTACCGTGTAATTGTCTGCGAATACCAGTCAAAATACATTAGCCATTCACTGACTTTCAGTTTTCTTAGAACAGTGGGAAGCACAATGTTGCCTGTATCTTTAGAGGCATGGGAAGCATTACGACCTTATCGCAGCAAACATTAATCACATTAATCACATTAATCACACCGGCAGTATTTTAAAATTTGCTTTAATTTTATTCCTTTTGTTAAAGTTCGCCACACACTCAATTATTTTCGTAGGTCCACCTTCTATTGGAGCTCGTCTTTGTTATAGGAGTTGTTGTGCTTCCTGTGTTATCTTAACACAGTGGAACTATGATTTTTTGAACCTCCTATGAAAATGGAGATTGGTTGTAGAAAACTAGGAGTTAAAAGAATTTAAGAGAGATTAAGCTTCGTTTTTCTTTCCATTTTCTGTTTGAGAAAGCCCAAGGCGAAATAAAAAAATACAGCGACTTCAGGGGAAGGAAAACAAGTTTTAATTTGAATAATCAAGAGGTTCAAAGGACCAGGATTCCACTTATACAGTATTAGTGTTAATTAATTAGTGTTAACAGTCTACAGCAAGCTCATTAGCACAATTTTAGCTCTAACCCTCCTGAGTAACATATTACTTTAGTCAGGGGCTATAGAGGCTGCAAGAAATAGTAGTACTTTACAGGTATACATCTTTAAATTTTCAGGACAACATCCTGGCAATACAGATAACTTATGAGCTATAATATAATTATATGGGTGAAATGTAGACACCTTGACCATAAAACGTAATGGTCTTCTATTAAGGGAAAAGATAAGCTTGAGCTTTGTCAGCCAAGGGATCTCTCTGGAAGCTCCAGCTGGAATGCATCTACATTTGCAGGCTGTGTCTACAAAGTACAGTGTGGATAGGAATATGAAAGCAATTAACCACAGTGACCTTGATCCTTGAAGTCCCAATATCAATTCAGAAATTCTCCTTACTGTTCCTTCTTACCTCTCTTATGGTACTAGTAAGGAGATTGTATATAAGTATCAAGTAGGTATACTAGGTATAGTTTCATTTTTGTTTGATTTTTAATAAGTTGATGATCGATTTTGGTCTCTGTTGGGACTTCAAAGTTAGGTCGGTGCACAAAGGATTTTGCCATCTTCAGATTAATTAAAAAAAGAACTCAAAAGTAATTGGAAATTCTTAACAAACAGTGAGTCTGGGAAAAATCTTAGGAAAATTAGGATCTTAAGTATTACAATGCACAGTAGATTATTCATAAGCTTACATGTACATAATGTCTAAGGCAATCTCCAGTCTGCTTCTTTTTTTTCTAGGCAACTTGAAGAAATAAGAACGGATGTTTTTCCAAATTGCTGATCATTTCAAAACCAAAACAATTTTTTTTATTAACTTTTGAGAACTTTTTCTTTTATAAGGTTTCACAGACTGCAGACTATTGATTGCATTCGTATTCTATTTAAATATATTAATTTTCTTGATGTTGCATTTGCTCTCTGATACCTTTTTTTCAATTTCCATAGGTTTTCAAAAGTCCTGGCATGTTAGTTTGAGGAATTTACTCCTTGGTATTCTTTTTATTTCCATTTTTATGCACACAACCAAAGCATTAGTTTAATACATGTTTACATCACGAGGGCACTTGTAGCACCAAGAAATATCTAGTTTTGTTTAATATATGCTAATGAGCTTGCATTAGTTATCTTAATATTATTATTTTTTTGTTAGGCTTGCTTTAGCTAAGCCTTTGTAAACAGCTGACTTTTCAAGATGCTATCACTGGTTTCCCCACAAAATGACCTGATCTTACACATTATCCTTGTGGCACGATCAGTCAGAAGCACTATCCAGATCTGTGTAGTGACACATCGTTTGTACAGACTTTCTTCACTTATTCTTCATTTTTGGGTCATTTCATGGGGAAACCAGTGGTGTCGTCAAGAAATATTGGTTGTTTTCTTAGGCCATTAGTTTTTCAGTATTTTTTTTTCAAGTTTTTATTTAATTTCAGACCTCGGGTGGCACACGCACAAGATTAGGAGCCCATCACTTGGGAAAGGTCATGTTTAAATCTAGCCAACCTCGTCCCTGTTGGGCTGTGGAAGCTCTGCCTCTGAGAAGGTGTGAATTCTGATGTCCTCTGAGATATTCCAACTGAGAAATCCTGGGAAACGTTTATCTGATCCTGTAATTCATGCTGGGGGCAGTTGGACTCTTGAAAGATTTGGCCGTTTGTTCCCAAGTGGGGAGGACAGCGTGAAGGAAGGTGAGAGTTTGCTTCTCATGTTATTAGGGTTTCATTCATTTTGTTATAATACCACACCTTTTTCCAAAAAAAATAAATAAATAACCATTTCGATCAAGAAAGTTGCTTGTCGGTAAACAATATGTCTGGGAATGTTTCACTGTTGAGGATGAAAAACGGGGGTGCAAGAACGTGCTCCCCGGCTCAC